CTCCGACGCCATCACGCTGCTCCTCCCACCGAGCCGACTTAAGCCGCGAGATTCAATTGCCTGGCTTTCATGCAATGAATGCAGAGACCAGAAATAGAGATACTCACCCGCTCTCCATCCTGACGACAAGCCGATTCCTGCTGAACCCTTTTGGAATTACCGCTCTCCATCCTGACTTAAACCTTTCTTCCTGGCAAGTGGTTCCTGCTCCCTCACTATTGCAACCAATGCTGAAGACTGCCACTGGTTCATCCTGTGAGGAAATACACTCTTCATCATACGATTTCTTAAGGGACCGTAATATACAGGGGTACAGGTACTCCTAGAATGAGATCCTAATAGGTTGGACTTGATGGACTAATGTCTTTATTCAACCTCAAATACTATGTAACATCAACTGCCTACTAGACTCTGAGCTTCATCTCATCCTATGTGATACTTTCCTGTCACCTATAGTAACTCCCAACTCCTGCCCTACAAGGATTACACCTGTAATGATTGAGACTGAGGTTACAGCTCTGCTGCTTATCACAAATTGAATCAATACCATTGGAAGCTTCTGAACTGCAAGTATCTGATCTCTCTTAAAAACGTATTTGTCTATGACTAGGACTGTTGTTATAATTATCTTTAATTGAAGTAAAATAACTTCTACAATTCCCTACACTATTAAACTGCCTCTGTGGAAGTGAATGCTCAACGTATTATATCATTATTTACTAGTACATGAACTCTCGTCTTAGTCGGTTAATTGATTTAAAGCCTGACACATTCACTCTGAACATCCGCAGCTGTGATCTATACTGAACATCACAAGTATTGCCTGTATGTTACAAATTGCACAAGCCTTCAAAGGAAATGGATCCAATGGATGTTGCTTCTCATATGGTTGCCTTTAATCAGAGATTGATTGCACACACTCAAAAAGTTAGTGAGCTACAAGTAGAAAACCAGAACCTTAGACTCTTTGGGGTTGATTTACTAACCTTATAAACACGCCACGAACAAGTATACACCTCTGTAGTGTGTTCCCTCCCAGCATGATTTATTGGTGGAATCTAGACACCTTTGTAGTGTGTACACACCCAGCAGGTGTGTTGTGCATGAATTGCAAGGTGATGTTGTGTAAATTAGCTCTATGTTGTGTTGCTTGCGTTGATGAATGCAGGAATGTAAATGCATGAGCTAACCATTTTTGTCTAAACTGTGAAGCAGCATTATATATGCATCATGTGCATGATTTTTCCATATATGGCATTAGTGGAAACATGCTTTTAGAGACTTTCTGGTTGATACGTTTTGCTGTGTTAAAATCACACGCACCTGGTGCGTGCGTGTGTTTTAGGTTAGTAAATCACCCCCTTTATCTCACAAAATCTTACCAACAGAGCTTCTCAGAATGAGTCTCCAGAACCTAAAATTAGCCCCCTGACAACTTAAACAAGGCAAAAGACCAGTGGAAGATTACATCGCTGAGTTCTAAAGTTGGTCCACAGAATCAGAGTGCAATAGCCTCAGTTTAAGGAATCAATTTAGATTGGGGTTGTCTGAGTCCTTAGAAGATGAGATTGCAAGGACTGAGTTACCCACCACTCTGCATACTTTAATCGAAATTCAGCATTTCAATTGATAGACCTTTAGAGAGAAAGAAGGGCTGAGAAGACATCAGGGTTCCCATCCACTCCAATCAGGAGTACTGTCTCTGATCCCATGGTTCCTATGGAGATTTGTTCTGTACGCCACCCCTTTACTCAGGCAGAGAGATTGAGGAGGAAAAGTCAGCAACTGTATTGCCCCATTAAGAAGAATAGTGCTGAGTCACCATTTGTTTTCAAGTTAATAACTACAAATTTGCCAACAACTAATTATTTTTAAATCGATTTCATTTTACATTGGGACCAAAAAAGGATCAACCTTGAAGTCATGGTGGACACAGGAGCTTGTGGCAACTTTATTGATTCACATGTAATTGAGACTAATACAATTTCAGCATTCAAAAAACCCACTAATAAGCCGCCTTATTGATGCCTGTTTCGTAATTTATCTTGATAACATTCTCATCTACTCTAACAACTTAACCGACCATCAGAGGCATGTTAGGTGGGTTCTTTCAAGATTAAGGTTGCACAACCTATACGCAAATCTTGGAAAATACATTTTTGGAGCCACTACCATCTCTTTCCTGGGGTAAATTTTTTCAAACAATGGTATCCACATGCATCAGAGTAAGATTGACTGTATTCTACATTGGCCGACACCACAAACTAGAAAGGCCTTGCAACGATTTCTGGGAAAGGAATCAGCACTTCTTTCTCTTCATCCGGTTGCCTTCTGTTCTCGGTCACTGACTACAGCAGAGATCAACTATCCTATACGTGAAAAAGAATTACTAGCTACTAAAGCCACCTTGGAAAATTGGAGACATTTACTAGAAGGTTCCTCTCTACCCATCATTATTTACTCTGACCACCAAAACCTACAGTACATATAGAGAAGTAAAACCATATCTTCTAGACAAATAAGGTGGGTTCTTTCGCACTGTCCATGTGCACTACCAGACTCTATGGGCATTTCTTGGGCTGAGGCCATGTGGAAGGGTTACATGACATGGCACTCTTGGGCAGAAGAGCGCTGGTGTGGTCACATCCCACAAGACTCTGACGGGGTCAGGTGGTGCAGCCAATTCTGGTTGCTCTATCAGGTTTACGTAACTCGACTGGGCAGTCTGAGGGATCTTGCAGAGCAGGGTTGCCACATAATGGTGGAGCAGTCAATCACTGGAAGAACAGGAGCTCCTTAGCCTTTGCCTCGCTGTCGCTGCTCGACTAAGCCACTGTAACTGGGTATTGGTACGTGGAAGCCAGTAAGAGCAGGCAGGGCAGGTTCCCACTGTCTCTTGATTTGAATGAGAAGCTCATGTTTGCTCAGGGGACGCACATGCAAACTTGGCTCTGGAAATTAGATGGGGGTTTTTACCATCACTTTGCATTTTTAATGACTTGGAAATGATTTAGGGATTAAAGTCAAATTTAGTGCAGTATAACACTCGGGTAGTAAAAAAAAAAAGTACGTTTTTAAAGAGGTCTATACATTAAACCAAAAGACAGACATCTTTGGAGAATGAAAGGACAGACAGTTCTACATGAGCTGTGCTAGTTTCCTATATCTCTCCAAATGGAGAACTGGGGGGGGGTAAGAATACCCAAATTATAAGTGAAGAGACCACAGCAGCAAGCCAGATCTGATGGCATTTCATGTAGAATGCATCTGCTGCTTCTCTCCACTCGCAGCTCCAATTACCCTTATGCTGGAACCAAATCATTACATTTCTATAGCCAATATAGTAATTACATTTCTATTTAAATCACCCCCACAAGGACCGTGTACTGTGATCTACACACACCTTTCTGCTTAGCAGACTTGAGTTTCAGTCCAATGGCAAAAGTTCCAGGCACCATAAATGAAAAATAAGAGATTTCTGTTAATCTTTGAAAATAACACTTTGTTGATATATCTAAAACACCTCATTCACTGTTATTATCCGAGATCAACCATTTAATGATAGCTGTCCTTTAATGCAAATACCAAAATAAATATTTATTATAATAATAATAATAATAATAATAATAATAATAACAGTAATAGAAGATCAACACCTTGTAATAGCAAAATGTATTCTGCAGACTACAGTAGCAACATTATCATGTAAACCTATAATGGGATGATGAATATTTTATTAACCGTTTATATTATAACAATATGACATTTAAATCAAGAAAAATGTGAACTTAAATTATTTATTTCCCAAATATTACATGTAAAGGTTGTAATAAAAACAGCTAAATTCTGTATACATCAGTTTGGCTCCTATTGGTGATATAAGTTAACAAATGTAGAATTCAGGTCCAGATCATGTTTTTCTATTTCAAACTATGAAATAATTTTTCTTAAAGGTAGAAAGTTTGTAGTTTAAGTGATACCCTTTATATATACTTCCTGTATCTATATATAGTTTGTTATATAGTTGATTTATTATACTTTTATTTTATTTATACTTTATGTTTACTATTTATTTAGATATGCTTTATTAATGTATATCTAAACCCAGCAACAAAAATGTAGTGAATTTTAGCTTACCAGTCCTTACATGTATTGGCTGAATTATTTATGTTTTTCCAGCTAAAAACATTTTCCTAGTAACTTTCCTTACTCCTTGTAACTTTCTTTGCACCGAACTAAAACCTCAGATAATGTTTCTCAGCTATCGTCTGTAAACTACCATCCTTTCCATCTTGTCTTAAATTGTATTGTAACTGTAATGTCTTCCTTATACAGTATTGTAAAGTGCTGCACAAACTGTTGGAGTTATATAAATATTGTATAATAATAATAACAACTACAAAACATCTCCCTCTGAATGATGATGAAGAGGAGGAGAGGAGGAGGTGTCCTGTGGTCCCACAACACATCCTGGCATAAAATGGACAACACTGCTGCTCAGTGGAGACTGTGATGAGTGAGTGTTGGAAGTAGAGTACCAGATGAAAATAAAGCAAAATAAAAAGTAAAACAAATAGAAAACGAATGCAGTCACCACATCTAAGTACTAGTAAGCTACAATGTACATTTTTGTTTGGGGGGATACACTTAAAAGATGCAAACGTTCTGTACCTTCTTTATGGCCCTTCCTCTGGCATTATACAATTATATAATGCCTGAGGGAGGAACTTAAGGAAGGTCCCAAAATCCTTGCATATCTAACAGCTTAGATTAGCAAATAAAGTGTTTCACTTAACCAGCAAACTTTTTACATGAGTGGATGGGTAACACTACAAGACTGTACTACTGCTTGGCAAAGGTGTAAGGCTGCATTACTTCAAATGCACCACAAGGTGGCGGCATTACACCATTCTCTTTAAATAAAGAAATACAATGCTTTAATTTCCTGAGTGTCTACTTCCTCTTTGACTGGGTCATGTGACCAGCAAAGCCAATGCAGAGCAGTGAGAGGATGTACATTGACTGCTGCTGTCCTTTGTACCTGCTCCTGGCTGTGCCATCATGCCCCTCTCTGCAGCCACTCGAGATGCTGTGGCTGGGATAGCTGTGTTGGGGGCCACCTTTGCTGCTGGTGTCTACATTGGTGAGTACACTGCACATTGTCAGTCCCAGTGCCCTAAAAACCTTTAACTCCTTATGTCCCAGAGGGGTTTTTAGTTTTAGCAATATGTTAGTTTTGCATCATAACATTTTTCTCTTATAGTCTATCCTATTTATAAACTATGTCTTTTCTGGGTGGTACAGATCGGCATTTACCTTTGTATCAGATGTGGATACAGATATTTTTGTTTGTAGTTTTTTAATTTAAAAAAAGGTGGGAAACATTAAAGCAAAATACATTAGAACAAATACAATACTTTGTTCCCAGGTAGACATACATTTTCACAGTCAGGTATATACAGTGTATCCCAAATTATACCCGACGAAGCCTCTAAAAACGAGCCCTCAGGGGGGAGACCACATGGGGGACTAGAATCAATGTGTAGAAATCAGTAGTGTGGCACTAATTAGTAGCGTTTAAGCAGACTGAAATAGGTGCAGTGACACTGCTCATACAGATAGGACCTCGGAGTTACTGAATCAGTTCATTTAATTGTTGTTTTCATTTGGATTTCTGTTTTGTTTTTTTATTTTATTTTGGAAATATGTGTCACCTGCCTAGCTGTGCAGTGTTGTGTATTGTAGAAGACAGTAAAAACAAAAGTACAAGTCAAATAGTAAACATATATGTATTGATATATATATATATAT